GATTTTTAAATGACTTAGTTTTAAAAAATTTTCATGAAGCAAAGTGGAGAGAACTTAAAATGAGTTGTTGCCCAATTAGATGGTTGGTCTCTGTTCATTACCATTGTTGGTTATGGCGTATACCCAGTCAACATAATAAAGCTGGAATTCTTTTTTTGAGATGCAATCTGAACAAAAACCTATTTTTTTTTTTAAATATTGTTTACTACTCCAAACTGTAAACCCAATCTGATTACGATTTAACAAAATCTTGAGTTTGCAGAACCATGGAGGTAATAAGAGGTAATGGAGGTATTACCTCCATGGCAGAACACATAACAATATTTGTTAGATGAAAAATCAAAACTACTTACCAGTATGCGCATATGCAGTGATTGTTATTTTACATAGCAAAACAACCAGTGCACATGCAGAGCTTCATCGAACAATACTCTATAATGTGTGCTACAAGAACAGAGTGTTCTTGTGATAAATCTTATTCCAATGTAGTTGCCAATGTACACTATAACAAAATTAATCAAAGAAACCTTAGAAACAACTCGCATGTACTTAGGTTATTGGAGCATAGAGTACAAATAAGCAATATTTAACATAATTTACAGGTTTAATATTGGTCTCTTAAACCAGATGTCTGTCCGCTAATAAAACTCTGCTCTTTGTAATGAGCTACATGTACAAATGTACTTGAAAGCAATCATACTTGAAGTACCTATATATATAGTTTGCAGAAAATTTATAAAATAGGTAATTACTTTGCATGGGATTTAAACCTTGAAATTAACACATATCAGATTTCAATGAAACTACTTCATTTGCATAAATTAACCAATTTTAATATGCATGTTCCATAGATACCTCCAGTATTACTCATCAAATATGAATGAAACTTGCTACAATTTGGGTTTTAAATAAGATGTTCATGGAGGTAATGTAAAAGTTCTTTTGTCAACGTCTTTCTGAATTCAAGCTGTCATTCTTGAAATATATATCCAGGATGTATAATTAACTTTGATGTCCATGTATGGAAAGTGCACTTAGTCCATTAGCAGACAGTATATCACTATTGCCCATTCCATTTGCTGTGGCTAATCTGTTCATCACTGTTGGTTTTCTTATTTTTCTAGATCTTGTGGTGCTTGTATTTTGTTCCTGTACCAGCCCTGCATGCCCAGCACCAAGGAATAGACTCTCTAGGGCCTGAAATAAACCAAATTCAAACTGTATATAATCTTTAGTTTGATTTCTCTTCAGGAGAAGTTGAGTCAGATTATTTCATCTTGTGTTAATATCAAAGTTAACTGGTACTTTGTCCTATTAGTGCATTCTCCTACATAAATGATAGAGGTGTGTCCATGGTAGAAATATGTTGTATTTTAATGATCCAGTAAACAGTAAATACAATGTTTGGTTCATATGCACTTCTATTAGAGAATTGAAGAAGAGTGAACATTGCTTGTTGGATATCAACATCAACAAATGCGCATTGAAACAAAGTAATTTTGTTTTATATACAAAAAACGTTTCTTCCCATAACCATAGACCCTTTTTAGGGTCTATGCCATAAGATTATGTTATGAGCCAATTTTTTTTGTCTTGTATGAAAATTCTCCTTACCTCAAGTCTTGCAGCTGAACTTGGTCTTTCAAGGGACCTTGCTCTTGTACCACTAGAACTTCTCCGCCTTATTTCTGCTGCTTGTCTATTTCTGGCTCTGCCCCTTTCTCTGACAGCTTCTCTGTCAAGAGTACCACTTGGAAGAGGAGGTCTGGTTTGTAGACCTGAAACAGACTGTGTTTGCTGCCTGCCTTGCAAAGGTGATATCAATTCTTCTCTCTGCATTGGGATTGAGGGCCTGCTATCTGGTGCGGGTTGTATACTTGATGGTTGTGGTCTTCCTCTACAAATTGTCCTGTTTGCTATCAGTCTTTCAGAGAATCTCTCCCTGATGACGCCATCAACTAAAGGCGACAACTCTGATATATGCAGCATTGGTATAGACGGAGCAACAGGTATCCGCTCATCCAGTCTCCTTCCACTAGATTGGGTTTCTTCTCTTCGTGGAGGATTTAAATTGCCAATTCTGTCTCTATCAGTTAGTCTTGTTGGAGTGCTGTTTCTCCTCCTCGGTGGGGTGCTACCCCTTCTTCTCATGCTCACACCCGACGAGCTGCTAGTGCTTCGCAGTAGTTCTTGTGTCCTGAAAAGAAAGAATCAGTTATTCGGATGCAGTGACAAAAGCGGATTAAATTAGGTGAGGTACTCATCCTGGTTAATGTACCACATGAAAACTATTAATCAAGGTGTAGAATTGATGTAAGATAAGTAGATTTGTTAACAGTGCTACATGTAGCAGGTAAAGGACTCGCAATGTTAGGTGTGAAAACGTATAAATATTACCTTTGTGGTGTTGATTGTCTAGAACCTAAACCAGAACCAGTTAATGTAAATGTGGATTCTAAGCCTTCATGTTCACTATCCCCACTGGCCTCACTGCTATTTACTCTTGTGTTCCGAGCGTTGGGCAACCCACCAGCTCTTCTGCCTGCAAACCCAATACCAGGAATCTCTAGTTGCAAGGTACTACCAGTACCTTCAGCGCTTTCCTGTGGTCTGTTAGCAGACTGTCTCTGTCTTTCAGCTCTGGCATTCTCCACCATGGTTCTGATAGCAGCGTACATATTCATACCATCTACCGGACAGGTGGCGTGTTCATGTAACAACCACTGATCAAGACATGTCCAGTGAAACTGAAATAGAAATCATTTTTCACATCAGACATCACAATTACTACAATGTTTGACCTCAGCAATCATGGGTTTCAAGAATAAATTTCAAAGGCACTGCTATCTTGAATGGAAGAGGTATTCTTGATATGTGCAAAAAATCATAACAGCATTCTTAGCATTATCAGCCCAGCAGTACAAGTTTTTAGTTCAGTCACACACTTCCACCATCATAGTTTTGTTCTCACCTCATGTTTACATGGCAGTTTCTTGACAACTTGTCCCACAGAATAGGATCTAAGGCATATTCTACACTGGGCACCAGGAGTTAATAATAAACTACTCGGCCTTATTGTATGTTTGGCTAATGACTGTACCAAGTATTCAGGAACAGTGGTGGCATTCTCTGCTTCGTTACTGCAACATAAATGTCAGTCAGTCAGTAAAAATCACACATACCATCATGTTGCTATATGTATTTCAATTTGTTAGGTATTATGGCAAGAGATGTGTAATATTGCACAATAATTCCATGGACAAAAACTTTAAAAGAAGATAACAAGTAAAATTTTTTCAAGTTAGGAAAATTCTGTAGAAGCAATCATTTCATTGAGATCCTTATAACAGCATCACTAAATAACTGCTGGGAGAATTTTAAACAAGAATGAACTTAATATTGGTAGTGGAAGTTAAACCTCACATTCAGTTAAAGTACTACTACCGGTAGTTTCATGCAATACAAAAGGTTGTATCAATGGGTAGTTGGCACAGTACCTGTCTAGTTGTAGAAGCATGTCATAATCATTATCGGTAATTTCACGGTTTTGTAAAGCACTAACAACAGCTGAGGGTAATACAGTGCCTGAACCTCTTTCTGCTGGCCTCCACCTTTGGTTGGATTTCTGTAAATAGAACGTGTGAAGTACAACATTATTTTGAAAATAGTTTTAAAAAGACACATTTATATAGCATGCAAAACATGCGAAGTGCACTTTTCAGCAACTGAATGTGATATTTATAGCAGGCAGTTCCCCCAACTCAGAACTGAAGATCTTCCAATTCATAAATCTTTAAAACATGCTGCAAATAGTAAAAATTTAGCAATTTATTAAAAACAAAGAATGTGAATTCACCAAATGATATATTGGTACTGGGCATCACACTAAAATACAAATCTTACCTGTCTATAAACAAATGAATGCTGTGTATGTGTGTCAGTATTAAAACATCCCTGACAGAGACAGTAGTCAACACAGGTCGTACACCTACAAATAATGAAGCACAGTGATGAACAAAAATGAATTTCTTCAATAGACCAACTTTAATGTGGATCTATAAATTTTTTAAAAAGTATGCATGAACAGGCCATATTTACTTGTCTGCAGATTGAACACAAAACTGTATATTCCCATTGGCCAAGTTTTTAGCTCCAATGTCGACTTTGTCGAGCGGAGCTTATCATATGAGTGATTGTCCGTTGTCGTCAACTTTACAATTTCAACTTCTTCTTCGAAACCGCAAGTCAGAATTTTTTCAAATTTTGATATGCAAGTACCTTGGATGGTTCTTTCTCAGATTTGTTGATTTTGTAATGATATCTTTAATTCTCTAATTTTGGTGAATATTTTTGTCATTTTTGGTAAAAAATGATATTTTCGACTTCTTGTTAAAAAACGCATGTCCAATTGCTTTGATACTACATATATAGGTACTACATGTGGACCTCTCTCAGATTTGTTCACTTCGTGATGATATCTTCAATTCTCTAATTTTGATGAATATTTTTGTAATTTTTGGTAAAAAGTGATATTTTCGACTTCTTGTTAAAAACCAAAAGTTCAATTGCTTTGATATTACATATATAGATACTACATGTAGACCTTTCTCAGATTTGTTCATTTCGTGATGATATCTTCAATTCTCTAATTTTGGTGAATATTTTTGTCATTTTTGGTAGAAAGTGATATTTTCGACTTCTTGTTAAAAACTGCAAGTCCGATTGTTTTGATACTATACATATTGTTCAATTTCTAATGATATCTTCTGTTCTTTAATTGAAATGTGCATTGCTAACAGCGGAGCTATCTCAGCCGATAGACTGCTTGTTAATAAATATTGTTGAGTACAGTTCAGGTGTAACCGTTTACAGTAGCTGCTAAATAAAACTAGCTAACAGCCAGTTTGGTGGTCAAGTTACACTCAGACTGCACAAAATAGACAGAGCCAAATTTAGTAGTCATATAATATCACTAGGTAAAATAGATAGCAGCTTACAAAATTATCAAAACATGATGCTTATTCAAGTTCAAATAAGCCCACATTACAACATACAGTGCTAATTGCTATAAAGTATTATTTACACCAATCTCGGTATGTAAATTAGCACAATTTATACTCAGTGGAAAATTGTTTCAAATGCAGTGCAATTTATAATGGTATAATGATGAGAAGAGGATGGATGGAGTATACTGGTACATTCAATTGTATAATTACCTGTAACATTTTCCTTGTAATGGTGACATCTGACAACGTTTACAGACTGATCCGAGGTGTAAATCCAACCTCTCAGCTCTTGTTTTCCTGAGGGATGAGTTCCTGTACTCAGACTCCAATGCCTGAAGTGGTCCAAAGTTCTCCCTACATAGAGGACACTGTATGGTCGTCTCACCCTGTGATTTCTGATGCTCAGCCCATACCTTCATACATTTGATATGGATACTCTTGGCACAACCATATCTGTGGGGAAAAAAAAGATGGTTTAATCCTGTATCTTACATACATTTAGGCATCAACATTTACTTACATTGCGTTATATAAAAAATAAAATAATAGTTCCCTAGATTTAATCTTTATGCTTTACAAAAAAGCATTTACCTGCAGTAAGTGACTGGTTCATGTTTCTCCAGTAACTCATCCTGACAAATTGGACAGACATCATCTTCAGTAATCGGTCTTTGCTCTAGCATCAACTTCCCGTCAAGACCAACTTGAGTAGGGGTGCCTTTATCAGCATTTTTTGCTTGTAAATAGCCTTGTCCCCTCCGACGTGGATCCTCACGCTGTGTAACTCCTCGCAGTACCTGATTGATTTCTCTTTCAACAAGTCCTTTCTGAAAAGAAATTTCATTCTGGCGGGGTACACGAAATTTCTTTAAAATAACCCAGCAGATGTGTTGACAAATATCCTTATCTGTTCGAAAGTTTTTGCAAGTACACGAGTGTGGATCTCCAAGAAAGACCTGTAATAACAAATGAAACGTGTCTCGCTGTTAATTTAACGTATCATACCATTGTATGCAGAAACAGGTCATATGTCATATTTAACATTGCATTATTAGATGCATACATGTTTTAGTCAATCATTATTGTTTGTGTTATGCACACTTTGCATGAAAAAATTGAAAGTATGAATTTATTTGTTCGTATTATTATACCTTTAGTTTTCCCTTTTCACCTTCTTCCTTCAGTAAAAATCCAGTTGGACCAATCTCTCTCAATATGTACATGGTAGCTCTCTCTGCCTGGTCCTGTCTCCAGCTCACAAGGTCGGTGACTGTCCCCCTCCATGCTACACTACGCGACATAACGGCAAAGATGACAGCTCAGATTTTAGAATGAACGCCCAAAATTAAGTTCACTTGGGGTTCAAGTTCATTTCCAAAAAATCAAAAACTTTACTACCAAAGTTTAAAAGAATTATAAAGGCATGTATTACGTGGTTACATCCATTATATTATATTGAAGCGATGCGTCGTGACCTTGGCAACACTTATTTGCAAGATCTGCCATGATGTTGATAACTCATAAATCGGTTCCTGGCGATCGTGATTCAACGAGCATATCGCGTTCCAATGTAAAAGCAGGAACGACTTTCAGTAGTTTGAGAGAAATTTTGATTTCAAAGAAAATAAATAACTGACGAGATGTTAGGACGGAGTAAATTACATTGGACGGAATTGACGAAACAGCGACGAGCACAGGTTATTTACACGGCCTCCTCCATTTTGAAATGTTTACCCGCCTCGTTTTGGTGATCACTACGTTACTCGTTCGCAAGAACCATTATTATGTTTCATATATTATGTTCCCAGTATCTAAAATTAAAGGTCAATAATTCTGTGATTTACTATGTACGTAAATTTTACTCATTTTTATATAAAAGACATATAAATTAATATTAGATTATACATAAAAAGGTGTGATTAAACAATACATCAGAACAAGGATAAAGATAATTTCCTTCTCGACGGCGGCCATTTTGACGCTAATTTGGTTGCCAAATAATAGACGATCTCGGAGGTTAGCCGTTGCATATTGATTTGTGTTGATTTAGGCGACTGCTAAGCGAACCTTGACGCATCAGACTATTTCCGAAGGGCTCACACAGGTCCCTATTCAGTTAAAACGTGACAGTTACTGTATTTTGAGCTAGGACGGGATGAACTCGATGTTATTTGAGTGACCGACTGCAGACATTCATTCGCAACTCTACATTGTATTCAAAATACAACAGCAATTATGGCTGATGATCGACAATATCATTTGAAATTTGACAACTCTGCCGGCGCTCACGTTGACGCTTATTTAGAGTACAAAAGGTAAGTTATGACCTTATAAAATAAATGAATAAATTTATTTATTCATTTATTTTCATTCTTTAATTCACTTATTTATTTCATTTCAATGGTACAGTATTATAAACAGTTCTACGTAATGGCATTTTTTTCTGCTGTTGAGAAGTACATCGTTTGATATCTTTGGCACTGATGAATTGATATCATGTGTTTGTTTTACTTTAGTTTAAAATATTGAATATCAAAACAATTTTAAATATTTTTGTTTCTGGTTATCATGTGTTAGTGTCATGTCACAGCGTTTTTTAAAAGTTTTTGTCAAAATTTTATCATAATTTTGAATTAAAATTAAAATTATTTTCGTTTTTTTTAAATCACCATAAACTTTTTTTACTGGGCCAAAAACAAATATATTTCACTGAATATGAATTAAGGTTGTTACAAACTTTATTATTACCCAACCACGTAGGGCCAATGTTACATTCCGGTAAATATTGGTTCCCAACACATGTACTAGCAGGATTTGTGTCTCCCCCGTGAAAGGTCATATGCTTTGAAGGCCATTATAGTTGCAAATGGCTTGTGGTTCATATCTGCTTTTAACATATCCTATGCTTTTGTTTTTATTGTGAGCAGAGTTGTTGGCGAAGATGATGGAGGAAAACCATTCACTCCCAAGGAGTATGAAAAATACAAGAAAACAGTGGTTGCAAAACGAATGCAAAATAGATTGTTCGTAAGCTGGACATCACCTGATGGTATGGACTGTAAATTGGTCGGACCCGAAACGCCATGTTTTTGTACACACAGGTGAATGTTTTAACTTTACATTGTTCTTTCAACTCTTTGAATGACACCTAAATTATTTTTTCAAGATTTTTTTAAATGTTGAATAGACTTCTTTAAAGTATATAGGTGTGTAGAATAAAATTGGTTTTGATGTTATTTTAAAATTATTTGTTAGACTTGTTTATTGCTGTCAGTGTATTTGTCACTTTATGTGATGTTAATTAATTCTGTCATTTTGTTGATTCACTAAACATGGACATTGACCAATCAGCTGTTATCAAGCTGTTTAATATGCTAGTGGTGGTTTTCACATTTTTTATTTTATTTGAATAAAAAAAAATGAATCGCTGCATGTCTACACATTAAGCCACCATTGTGTCTCCCATGACAGGTACAAACAACACAAGACTGATTTTGATGAATTACCCACAGAGAGACCAATTCATTTACCGTGCAGAGTCAAAGGATGCAAGTGTCGTGCATATCACTACATTCCATTGAACGGCAGTCAACCAATCAGATGTCAGTGCAAACACTATACAGATGACCATTCTGAACGCAAGCCATACAAATGCCAAAAAGGTAACTGTAATGTACCGGTAAATTGTATTGAAAGTGATACAAACATTCACATCACTCACAAAATGTTGTCTCCTGAAAATTAAAACAGTAGCATTATACCAGATTTGCTCTATTACAGGTACTATTGTCAAAATAAGTAACATTTTAATTATTCCTTATACACCAAATGTAATTAGTCCCCGTTCGGACGAAGTCCGAAAACGGGGACTTATAATTCGGTCTCCGTGCGTCTGTGTGTCCGTGCGTCCGTGTGTCCGTGCGTCCGTGCATCCGTCCGGAGTTATATCTCAGAGTCCC